AAATCCAGTAAGTTTCAATCCTGCAACTTCTCCATTCGCTTTTGGTCTTGGTGAGATATTCAAGTTAGGTTTGGTAGTAGCTTGAATAACATTGAACATCTTAGAAAGTTCGTTATGTGTATCCGGAGCTGTAAAACTTGAAAGGTCAGGTGTAAACAGAGACTCTGTTTTTGGAGTTTGAAGAAAATCTATCCATGAGAATGATGCGGGTAGCGGCACGCTGGAACCATTATTCTCTTGAGGGTGATTTATCTTCATAACCTGTGATTTTGATACGGAAGGTGTTGAAAAAGTGGTTCTCTGGGGACATCTTGATGGACCAGCATCTACTGTTTTATCAGGTTGTGGTTTCATTGCAAAGGCCTTGGCACGGGAAGATGACTTGTTTTGACTATTGGGCTTAGAAGCTTCTGCGCCTGAACAACTAACCACAGCAGCACTACCATGCCTTAACGACACTCGCGATAGAGGATACGTAAACGTAAACTCAGGTAGCGTTGGTAGAGGTTTAGACAAAGTAATGCCAATGTCGCTTTGGTTGGCGCAGGAGGCTTCACCGGAGATAGAACTAGCGGTCGCAGGATCAACCTGATTGCTTGATACAGGATCCATTTGCTTTGACAGTTTTTCGACAGATGGCAGAGGCTCGTCAACAAGGAACTGCTTGAATAAGGTATCATCGTCGTTGGAATCGGGGGCAAAGGGGTCTTCAACGCCAGTCTCGGTCATGAGTTGAATGAGATTGTTCTCCAGTTCCAAGGCAAAGGGTGAAGTGTGCAAACGTCTTCGTTCTTCCCATTCCAGAGGAGTATGAGGCACCGAGGATTCGTTGGAACGAGACGTCCAAGAATATTCCGAGCTGTATGAAGATTCCGTTGAGGGGGCACGAGAGATATTGAGGTTTGCAGGTTCACGGAATGAAGCGAGATGCGCAGGGAAGCTAAAGGTACCGTAAAGTTAAGAAGTCACACAATTAGTTATGAGACGAACGAAAGAGTATATATTGGTGGACAAACAGAATGGGATGACATGTAAGTACTCACTAAGACGAATTACCCGTGATAGCAGTAGTAACGACACCAGCATTCGTATCTAGCCCTTCCTTGCGAGTAGAGCCAACGAGCTCCGCATTAACCAAGACAACAACCGCGTTATCACCAACCCTAGACTGAGATTTCACATTCCCAGCTTGACCACCATTGCGATTGACCCCAGAAGCAGAAGAAACCTGAGAGTGAGTAGAAGAAGCTGAAGGAGTACGAGAGATAGCTAGTCCAGGAGGCGCCATGAAACGTCCGAAGAGAGGTCTAGGAACAGAGTCCATCATTTGTTGCGCAGCGATCATAACAGGGAGGGAGACCGGAGTGACAGTAGGATTGATAGCGGAGAACTGAGTACCACGAGATCCGGATGAGCCGGGGAACTCTTGAGGTGTCGCAGGGAAGTAGGACGAATCCGACGAGCTATCAGAAGGGCGTCGACTCCCTTGTTCAGAATACGGTGGCGTCAAGTTCTGTTCGTTGAGTAAGAAGGCGATACCACGTCGAGCCTGCGGAGAGTGTGGTTGAGCATAGTTAGGGACCTCCCTGGTAGAACTCAGACTATAAGTCCACGGAGGAGGAAGGGGCGGCATCCTTGTTGCTGGAGATGGCAACGGATAGGGCGCATAGTAGGCAGTTTGAATTCGGCGCGGATGATCAACCCGACCATGCAAGTGACGCCGGGGAGCCTCTCCATAGCTCGGGCTGGTGGACATAGCGACAGTTTGGTCCTTCATTTCCGTATCCTCATCTTCGTGTTCTTGCAGCTGCATGACCTCTGATTGCTTTCGCTTTCGGATACGTTTGGGGCTGGCCTTGGTGTTCTTCTCTTTGTCCTGCTTCTGAGTTACTTGCTTTGGTTCCGCGTAGACGCAATCAAAGCCAAGCCTGCGACATCGCTCACAAGTAGAAGGCCGAACACCAGTACACTGAATCAACATTAGCCAAAAAATTGTTACAAACAATAGAACCTTACTTTAGCCTTTCTCTTGCGGCATCTGTCACAAGCAGTAGCAGTACGAATACGACCAGGGAGCTTGCCGCCGGGATAAGTCTCTTTAGAAACCATCCCATTCCCTCTTGAGACCGTGTAACTGGACTGTTCTGGGGAATGCTCATATTGAGAGGGTGTATCGACGTCCATCGATACTTCGCGTCGAGGTTCCACCCGCACCATCTGGCTGCCCCTCCCAGCTGGATGGACTTGGACAAATTCGGGTTGTATTGGGTATTGCTGGTGCTGAGAATACGCCGGATCTTCGTAGCGAGGGTCACAAACAATGATTGACTGAGGACTTGCCCATTCCGGCTGAGCGTAACGATACCGCGCTGTGTCTTCGGAGTAGTTGTCGGAGTGCACATGTTCAATAACACGGACTCTCTGTCGAGCGCGGCTGGAAGAAGGTGGTCTGACCAAAGCAGGGGGAGGTGAAACATATCCAGGCGACTGAGATTGAGTATCCTTGGATGGGGGAGAACGGCGGCGGGTGACCTGCACGTCGCCGGGATGAACAGAAGGCTTAGGACGAATAGCACGGTTACTAATCGACGTCTGCATTCTGTCTAGAGAATAATAAAGTAAAAGAAATTAGAGATGCGGATGGTAGATGGTGGTGGTTATGAAGAAAGAGCGGAATCGAGATGGGCTGAACCTAAATACGACAAGATCCAAGGGGGCTGGCGTCGAATAAAGAAGCTGACCAGTCGCGTATAAGTTACATTTTCGTCATGAAATAATTATTTCGTTATTTCCAGTCCATTTACGAGCCATTGGGAGCAATATGTTCATGATAATATATGCAGTTACAATAATAGACAGCGTACAGCGAGCTTTGAGTCCAGAAAGTTGATAGTTGCCTGAGATTCCGCAGAGACGTGATCTTTCACCGTAACTAACACGAGATAGAGTCCAAGATGAATGTCCACAGAAATTCGCAAGTACAGATAACAAAGATGATGAACAAGTAGTCAAGGAAGTTGGGAGCCAATTTTGAGCCTGAGAGGTTCAGAGCACTGGCGATCAATTGATGGTGCACCTACGGAAAAGGAAAATCTTGAAGTGAGAATGAAGGTTAATAGGTGTATGCTACTATTCGGTACGCATAGTTGCAAATCTGAAGGCGATGTAGATGAAACATCTCCTTGACTGCTAGCAGTAAATACCTAATAGGCATCAGTTGCATATGCCGAATGTGTCTCTGCCACTGCGTCGATATAATCCATTCTATCATCTTCGTCTTGAACCGACGGCCATTTTGCAGGACTTAGCGGAAAGTTGACAGGATATGTTGAATTCTGAATTGATATATGTAGCGATGTCTCTGGATAGAGGGAACAATGATTCCCTGAGACCTGAAGGAATTTTGATTGCCCATCATCCCTTGGTCGACGTGTCGAGTCCATCATCTCAGTACTGTATGCTGCAGGACGGCCTAACACCAATCGGAATCCTGATTCATGACTGGCGGATTGAGAGGAGGAGTAGATTGGGGCATGTACTGGCGTACTAACGTCAGAAGCTTTAGAACTGTGCCTCCTTCCACTCTTCACCTGAGGTATAGAGTTTGCGTCCTGATGATGTTGTGGCGCTTTCACAGAACCATGATATGCGTCGAACGAGCTCGGTCTCGCTACGTTCATGATGCTTTCTTGACCCTGAAATCTCAGCTTGAATCGTGGGGGATGGTCTAGGAGGAGTGAGCGGGTAGGTGAATCCAACAGTCTGGATCTTGCCAACCGATTCTTATGTCTCTCGACCGACATCATGTCAGAGACTCGAGTCATTGAGGGAAGTTCTCGCTTGGAGCGATACATCGAACTCGCAGATTTCTGCGGAAGACACTTCCTTTTAGACCGCTGGACAGGTATTCTACGTTCGCGGCGAGCATTGAATGAGCTCGATGGAGAATTGATTGGGAATGAACTAGAATTTTTAGATGGAGGAAGGATGAATCACGAAGACTGGAATTGCCAAATCTTAAAGGAATCTCAACGTACCTAATGGGAGGAATACCGCCGCTCTGAGGGATATTCTGTGTTGTGTGGTTTTGAACTGGATTGGGTGCAGGTGCTTCGAGACGAAAGCGAGAAAACATCGATTCTACGCGAACATCATGTTGCCTAAGATGATGTTCAGAGTCACGGTATTTCAGAACAAATACGGCAGACTGTTTAGCCACTCACCCAATCACTCGGTTGCTTATAGTATGTCTTGTCCCAGCAAAACCAGGCAAGTTATCATGCATGCTGTTAGATTCTGGTGATTGTGAGTAGGTAGAAAATTTGGCTAGGGAAAGAAAGGTGGTAGAGGATGAAGAGATGGAGAAGGTAGACCATTAGTACCCACTTAGATTACGCCACCGTTTTAAGGGATGGAAATTTGGTCATTGCAGTGGGGTAAGAAAGATGTGAAACCGTTAAAGGTCAAACTATTGTGCACGAATGGCCACTGCTACCGTTTACCTGTGGGAGATTGTGTATCAGGTCAAGGCGTGAACAAAACATACACCGAGACTGTCTTGTAAGATTCAGGAGCCATTATAGAACCTGCACTGTCAAGAATAATAGACTCGTGTTTGACCTTCAGATACTATTGTGAGGAGTCAGTACCTTGCGTTATCTGCTAGGATCATGACTCCCGTATCCCTTACCTTAGGTCGTTGTGTCATCAATCAAATTTGAAGGTAGAGGAAGGAGCAATCTGAGTCCGAGATATACTCTGAATTTGTTTTGTAAAATATAGCGCTGCCGTGCCGTAGTAATCGTACTAGGTCCATGACAGTTAGTTACAAGTAATGAGCTGAAGATTTAAAAACTTGAAGTGAGTACTAGGGAAAAGCGCCTAAGCATCGTCTAAACTCAGAAACAAATATTACGTAAGCCTAAGTCCGAACTGGCGAACATTAGGCGCTCATCCCTGCTCATTCTCTTCAGCTTGAACGTTTAACTGCACAGTGCCAAGCCATCGTGGCTCAATTGGTAGGGCGTTGCTTTCCTAAGGCAAAGATTGCGGGTTCGAGTCCCGTCGTTGGTAGTAGGTTTCATTTTTCCCTTGCGGAAGTAGAGGACAAAATTTTGTCTCAAACAATGAATTTTGGCAGGTTAGATATTCAACGCAATCCTCGGGTTTGATGTGTCTATTGACCTTGTATTAGAGACTGGCCATTTCATCATCAGATCCTTCACTCGATAATTATCATCTAGGTATGTTTCCAAACCTCCGATTCAATTAGTACCATCCCCGAGTCTGAGCTGGCAGTGTAGCGGTCTATTCGAATGAGGTCGTACTCCCCGTGCTTATTCCTTGATCCATCATGTTGCATATCCCCATTCAAGTTTACACATGACGATTAGGTGACACTACCAACGCAAACCAGGTACGTACTCGTGATTTCGAGCTTCATGTCAACGCAAGCATGCATCATGTTCAAGTTCAATTTCGATTCGTGATTTTATCTTTGTCATAATTCAGGTTGTCATGCATTATCGAAGAACCGCCTACGCTGATCCTTGTTTCGCCCAGAATGCTCTCACCATGTAAAGTAGTACCTTACACCAGTAACACCATGAAATGACCCGCCCACTATTTTCGGTCAAATTGAAACGGAGCTATTGCAGGTGCGCCTTCGTTTCCAAGCGATGTCATTGATTCACTATCCTAATCAACTAACGTGCTATTGAAAGGTCTTCGGTAGTTTGATGGTCCGTGTGTTCACAATTCACTTCGAAAACTCGGTATGGAACAAGCATTATATCTACCGTTTTTATCTGAACATATAGAGATTAGAATTTACGACTACTGTCCAAATATTAGAACGGTCGTGGCCCATTCATTGCAGATTACATCTGCCAAATTATACATTCATTGGAGTAAGTTCAGCCCTTGTGAGAACACTTACTAATCTCATTTGGTCCTTATACACCAATAACTTTTATCAGGAACACTTCCTGCCGGAATTAGGTGGAATGACCTCCAATTAATGGGAAGGTTTGTTCGCATTTCCCATAAATGTTTGGCAAACTCACTCTCATTCTTGTTGTCAAGATTGAAACCTCGGACTTATCGAAGTCCGTGACATAGCACAATACCAAAGATCTCAACATATCCTAAATGTGGCGTAACATATTCCCATACATCCTCCAATAGCTAGATCCATCAAGTTGAACCATAAAGAGGATTTGATTTCATCAGGCTACGGAATTCAGATCGTCGGCCTTTCTTGCGCTACTATTGTAGCGTTGGACCTTCCATTTGACAACGCTTCCAAGCTTTCAGGGTGTCGAAGGTTGGCAAATTATATTTTCCACCTGATGACCCATTTCGGATCCATTTGTACCATCTTGCTGTACGTGTTCCTGGTTGTCTTCAGTTTAGTGGAATTTAATAGACCATTTTAACGAAGGTGTAGGATTCGAATATCATCACAAGTATTTTCTCCATTTAAGTCAGAATAAGCAATGCCGCAACTTCACTTTCTGCAAACTATCAAGTGTTGCGCGTTTTTGCAACCTAGTAGAGTTCCAATTCACAATGGGGTGAGCATTCCCAAGAGTGATAATATTAACACTAAGTCGAGCGCACCCTTCCAGTCTTGCCTTCAAAGTGGTCATCTCATGTCATCCATTAGCTTCGGTCCCTCAGCATCGCATCCCGGAGGATTACGTTCTCCTGTTGTGTCTTAGTTTGTTCCAGTCGATTTTACAGAATCCAACCGAAGTACCGTCGTAATATACGAAGTCTAGCGGTGAATGTGATAGCCTGATTTAGCGGCTCGTCCTATGTATAAAAGAGGTGCAAAAAGTAGCTTTACAGCATCAGAGGATACCACAAGTTCTCTTCTACAGCTCAAACTCTCTCATCCACTCACCACTTCAACCACTAATCTCAACAGCCATGTCTCAAGTCAGCGTACTTGTAAGCATAATGATTCTTGACAACTAATTTCTAAAAGATTCTAACACCATTCCCTAGAGCGAATCTGAGCTCCAGACCTTCCTTGCCAAGATTCAAGATGTTCGGGCTTACTTGAACAACACTACCATGTCCAACCTTGAGTTGGCTCAGCCGCCACTCATGATCGACGGTCATGTCTACCGTTACCCTCAAGACGTCGGCCCAAACGAAAAGAATGGTGACGCCGGGGAGTACAAGACTTATCCTGGTGCTCCAAGAGCTCGCGTCTTGGGTGGAGTTGTTTACGACAGTCCCGCTGCTGGATTGAAGATTGTCCTTATGTTCAGTATCACTGAACCGGCAAGACCTAATGTCCTCAAGGTGAGTATATACGAGTCCGCAACGGAAATCATGGGGACGGTCGATATTGATAGTCTGTGTTTGTGGCTCATTTTAGGTCGCATTCTACAGGGGACAAGTCCCTGCTTCATTCATCAGTGAAATGTACAACAGTCCTAACTACGGTAGCTCTGCCATCACTATGTACTGGGACGGACTGGCTTGGGTCACTTTGAAGGTGGGTTCACTAGAAAACTTTCCTAGACACCAGAATTTGCTCACTTATTCTTTGTGCACGTAGGTGGAGGCTGCTCCTCCAAGCCCAGGTGCTACCATCTCGGCTGCCTACACTCTCACTTCTTCGTAAGTACCGATTGTTGATCTTCTTCGTAAGATTAAATGAATCAATGTCACTCTACAGCGACTCCCCTGGAAACGTTGGCGCGGCCCCCTCTGCAGCTGCCGTCTAATCCAGTGAAGGTTGAAACAGGTTGATGTGGCTTGGATACCGTTTGAGCTACCTTGAATCACGTCTGATAGTCTCCAATGGTCTTCGAAGAATCCCGCAACGTATATTGATATCTGTTTTTATCTAGTTAGTCTTGATCGTTGCGAGCTGTTTATCCTGAATTTATTGCGATTTTGGCACTCTGAACCTGCGCTGATGATCCTGTTTTGAACGACCGAGTACTTGTTTGCGGCGAACCTAGAACACTCTCTGTTTATATGTGGGATATTTGATGAATTTAATCTCGGTATTCTTCCTCTTTGAATATAGTGTGCATGCTTCTCAGTGATCATGAAATTCTGCTCCATTTTCAGGTGGTCTTACGGGTTAAAAATCAAATAGTGCATCTCCTGATACCTAGATGAACCGGTTGGAAGTGACAACTTCATATGCAGAAGAAAGAGAATCAAATTTTGCTGATGATAAGATCATAGAGATATTTTCAGAAATAAGCTCGTTGAAAGTATGTGCGTGGGTGTGGAGGACGAATTCCCACCAACTCTGAACCACAGCAATTTCTAGGTAATTTCCTAAAATGGACGCTCATGAGATTATCTGATATCCCGCCCTTCTGTCCAAAAAAGGCAAGCGCGATCTTGACTGTTTACTTCCGCGTCTTCCCAGTTTGCGATGAGTTGGGGCGTGTGTCGATCTTGGCCCGGTGACGGATGGGTGGTGGAGGTTGTGGATCGCCAAATGACCGTCGAAATTCGCTGCTTTGTCTCAAACCACCATGTCGACCACCGCCCGACTCCCCTTCGACGATGCCTCCGCCAATTTCCAACAGATAAATCATTCTCAAAATTTGAATCAAAATACAAACAATAATGAAAATCAATCAAACCCCTCTTCCTCGACGCTACAAACTTCAAGCTCGAAACCGAAAGAGGTCTTCGAGTTTACAAAACGGAAACGATGGGCAGACCTCCTAATTACCGAGTTGTCTGAAGCCATTATTCTCGTGCTCAACGTCTCGGGCAGGGTCTGGTACTGTGGTAACTCAGTTCACGAGCTACTGGGTTGGCGAGACGAAGAACTCGTCGACAAAGATTTCGTACAATTTATGAATCGTAAGTATCTGGAATTGCCCCAAAGTGCATATAGTTGCTCAATTTCGCAAAGCGGACGACAGGGCGTCGTTCTCGGAAATGTTGCAAGCGTCCATTCGTAATCAAACCGAACTTCTCACCTACTCTCGCCTCCGCTGCAAACCAACCAATTTGTTCGTTGCAGGGGCCAATCCCGAGTATCAAACTAACACCAAAGAGGTCTTGTTCGAAATCAAAGGCTACCCTCACTACATTCCTGACAGAAGAGACTGTTCATGCTACTTTGCGATGGCAAAGCCATATCCGAGCAGAAACACTGCCATGTGCGCTTTATAATCCTCGATTTATTTTAACTATGCTCATGATAAAAAATAGGATGAACACGTTTTTAGAGCTCAAAATGGAGAATGAACGTTTATTAGACCGTCTCTATCAACTGAAACAACGGCAAGCTCTCCAAGCACCAAGTTCATCATCATCGGTACCGACTACAACACCCCCTGACCTCACGTCTCCTATTCCATCTACCTTCTCAACTACCGGTCAATCACAATATAGTCTTGTTCAACACCAAATGGCTCGCTCCATGGAGCCTCCGCCTCCTCCAAACAGCTTCTACAGTGGGACATACGAAGAACTTATTCCAAGTCCTGTCAACATCCGATTTGATACTTCTAACAATTATCGCGCTGCCCCTTCCACCGGGTCCGCGAAAGTTGGTACCAATGGTTCGGTGGCGGGATCTGTTGCCGAAGACGATGCATCGGGGAGCAAAAACACCTCTGCAGATTCTACTTTGCCTCGGAAAAAGGTGCGCATGTCTCGTTTGCACCAACCTACAAAATAATCTAATCTGTCTATTGTAGCAGAAGAAATTATACACGACCGATCAATACGTCTGTGTGACTTGTGGTCGGACGGATTCTCCAGAATGGCGGAAGGTGAGCGCTCAACTGTGGGCCCCGTATATCTTGATCTCAACTCCTGTTCACCAGGGTCCATTGGGCCCAAAAACGTTGTGCAATGCCTGTGGGCTTCGTTGGGCTAAAAGCGTACGAACATCGAAGGAAGATGGTGGAACGAATGCTTGATGTGGTTGATAGTGCCTCTGTTTGTTATCAAGGATTTAACGAAGTAGAAATGGTCTCGCTTTCTTGGACGTAACATTGATATGCGTATAAGTTGTTCGTGCGTGTGCTTTCTTGCTATTGGTGTCGACATATATAACGAGGATTATTTGTAGC